AGAGAGAGAGTCAATCAATCAATCAATCAATCATTGACAAATGAATCAAGATCATATCCTATCAATTCGATAGGATCTTGATTGCTTTGATTCATTGATTAATTGTTTGTGTGTATGTGTGACAGAGAAATAGAGAGAGAGAGAGAAAGTGGAGAGAGGAGAGAAAGAGAGAGAAAGCGGATAAAGGAGAGAGAGTGTAACATATCAGAAAGTGAAATGCACTGAAAGTCTAGGATCTAGCAATGACGAAAGTGGCAACAACCAGCAGCATAGGTGCAACATTCACAAGGTGTCAATGTGCGCGACGCAAAGAGTGAAACAACGGGAAATCAATAACGACACATGTGTATCATCATCATCATAGGCTGGGAAGCAGCGCAGCGGAAGATCTAGTATCAAAGGACACGTGGACAACAACATGAAAGGGAGAAACTTCGGAAGGGCAAGACACCAGAAAGATTGCCCTTCCGCTCACACACATGGGGAGAGATCCATAGACATGCGAGAGAGAAGGGGGAGGGACATAGAGGTAGCCAAGTCCAACCCAAGTCTGATCTCCGAATGTCGCACAGAGTTCAATCCCAATGTAGAGTGTAAGTCCGATCTGAATGTCGTGTCCAATAAGGCAGAAGGCCGTGTCCAAACAATGTCTGCAGTTACCTCTATCTCTACTCTGATAAAGAAGAAGAAGAAGAAGAAGAACTTCGGAGGAGTATGAAGAGAAGAGGAGAGGAGAAGAAGAAGAGGAAGAAGAAGAAGAAGAAGAAGAAGAAAGCTGGGTGCTTTCTGCACTTACCAGGCGATGGCTGAACTTGCAGGTACCGCGGAGCCAGCTATGGCGCTGGGCAGGTAAGGCCTCTTCTCTCTCTCTCTCTCTCTGTCTCTCCACTACCCTCCTCGGCGCTGGACTCCTCCAGCGCTGTGCCTCATGGCCAATGAGCAGCGCAGCTGCAGTCTCGAAATGGTGCAGCAGGGAGTTTCCAAAATAGCGCAGCAGCCAAGTTCCTGAACCAGCATAACGCTGGATTTCTCCTGGTACCTTCTGTGTCCGAACTGGGCAATGGCCCAGCTTAAGCAATGCTGGGCCAGGACTGAAAACCCACGGCCTGCGTTCTGGACCGTGCAGATCGAAACTCCGATCCACGGTCCAGATYGCAGGCTTCGAAAACTGGTTCAGTCCTTGGCCTAAAAAGGCCTGCCTGGGTCCCTACCGGACGTCCAGGCCCTGTCCAGGATTAATCTTCCTGGTACCTGGCTTCAAACCGGTCCTGTGCGGACGTACCCGGCCTCAACGTTGGCCTGGGTTCGAACAGGTCAAAATCTGTTCGAAAACAAAAGAAAAGGTCCAAACATTTTTAGGAGCTCAGCCTCTGGGCCTGAATCTGGCCCTGGCCCTAGAAGCGTGTACCTGGCCACAAAACGGACAACAGTACACCCGTTAGAAAAACAGCAGCAAATGAATAAAAAAAAGACTATAAAAATAATCTAAAGCTGGCGTTAATTTGATGCAGGCCCAAGTAAAAATGCCATAGGGCCTTCAGCTTGTGGTGACGCAACCTGGGGGCCCTATTCCAACCTCGGGTCCCGTGAGGGGCCCGTGTGTAGGCTTTCAGCATGTAACACGCCCCCCTCATGAAGATGAGCCGGGGCGCGGGCGAAGCTGCCGATCCGATGGCGGAATGTAGCGAGGAAGGCGAGGAGCTGGAGTGCTCTGCGTAGTCTTCCCTTTGCTAATATAGCGTGAGAGAACGGCGGGGGCTGTGGCCTGCAGTTCCGAACGCGTCAGCCAACGGTCAGCCTTGTGGATGCAGTAGGAAAAGTGAAGTAGAAACTCTGTTTCTTTGTTGCTATGGCGCCGACCGGTGATGATGTAGCCGGCCTCCTGAAATCCGTCCATGGAAGGAGGGTCTTGCGTACGTCGACCGGGAAACTCGTCGGACTCCGCTGAAACAAAAGGAGCGAGTTTGGAACAGTGGAACACCGTGTGGACGGGCAAGTGAGGTGGCACCGCGATGCGGAATGAGGGGCCCTCGGGATCATCAACAGCTGCAGAGAGAATGCGCCAAGGCCCCATCCACTTGGGAAGGAGCTTGCGAGAGATGTCTTGCTCAAGGCTGAACTCCGCTGCGGAGACCCAAACCAGATCGCCGGCGCGGAACGGGCAAGGAGGGCGATTGCGGTTGGCTTGACGGCTCATCCGTATTTGCATCTTCGACATTTGATCCCGTGCCTTGACAAGAAGCTCTTGCATGCGACGAAGGAACACAAGATGGTCGTCGCTCTCGGCTGTGCGCGGCAAAGTAGCGTCTAGCGACGATGAGATGGGTGAACCATGCTCAAACTCGAACGACGAAATCCCGATAGCCGGGTGGATCGATGAGTTGTAAGCCAACTCAACGTCTGGCAAGCGCTCAACCCAATCAACCTGGTCGGGACGGATGAGAGTGCGGAGAAGGACTTGAGCGGTCTAATGAGCCCTTTCCGTTTGACCATCGGTTTGCGGGTGGCGAGCCGAACTCGGCTTCAAAGATGAGCCCCATCGCTTGACGAGGGAGACCCAAAAGTCGGAGAGAAAGTGAGTGTCCCGGTCGCAAACGATCTCCTTGGGGTAGCCTTTGGAGCGAATCCAACCGGTGTATAAGACCTCGGTTAACTCCGATGCCTTTGCGTGATAGCGGCAAGGCAAAAACATGGCGTACTTGGTGAGGCGGTCGACGATCGTGAGGATCCCATCAACACCGGTCTTGTGCTTCGGGAAGGGGCCTGTGATATCCATAGCAATTGCTTCCCGTCGCCCAAGGGGCACTGGTAATGGGTGTAGCTCGCCGAACGGACGATGGTTGTGTGCCTTGCAACGCCGACAAACTTCGCACGACTCACAATAGCGGGTGGCGTCCTTGAGAAGGTCGGGCCAATAGAATCGCTGGCGAAGTCGGCCAAGTGTACGGTTGACACCAAATTGTCCGGAGGCGGGCGCATCGTGAAACTCGCCAAGAAGCCGTGTGCGCAAGTGTGAATCATTCGGCACACAAAGAAGATCCTTACCCCGTGAATGCACAAGTAGTAGTCCTTTTGGATCCGATAATGCGAAGGCACTGGATTCGGAGAGGAGCAATTCGCGTACTTGTCGTGAAAGTGGGGGTCGGCTTGATAGCCGCGGATGAAGCTCTTCCGCAAGTCGTCGTCGATCTCGAAGGTAGAGTAGACTGCGGTGCAAAGATCCGGTCGCCGTGAGAGGGCGTCCGCAAAACGGTTTGACTTCCCGGGAATGTGATCGGGGAAAAATTCAAACTGGTCGATGAAAGCCATCCAACGGGCAATGGTATTGTTAATCATGTCTTGCGACTTGTAGAATACCAATGGATTGTTATCCGTTACCCATCGGAATGCTTTCCGAGCAAGGAGGAAATGTCGCCAATGCTCGAGGGCGAGGACGAAGGCAAGAAACTCCTTCTTCCGTGCGTCGTCGATCGAATGCACGGGAGGTACTTTCTTGCTAAAGTACTTGACCGGGTGCCAGTCCGTGCCATCGTGCTGCTCAAGGACGGCCCCAATGCCATAGCCCGGCGCATCGGTAGTGACGCGCGTAGCTAGAAGCGGGTCGTAAATATGTAACACCTCGGCGGACAAGAGTGCCGCTTTGAGTGTCTCAAAAGAATGGCGCGCGTTGTCATCGAAGGCAAAAGGCCGCTCCTCGCTTTGTAACTTGCTTAGGTTGGCCGCGATCTTAGAGTAACCCTTGATGAAGCGCTGATAATAACCGGCCAAGCCGAGGAAGGATCGGACGTCCGTCACATTCTTCGGCTCGGGCCACTCCTGGATGGCTTGAATCTTGTCCGCCAACGGACGACTGCCTTCCGGAGAGACAAAATGACCCAAGTATTCAAGCTCTTGCCGGACAAACTCGCATTTGTCGCGGTTAGCTTTGTACCGGGCTGACCGAAGAGTTTCTAGAACATGGCGAAGGTGCTCGAGATGCTCTTCTAGAGTTTGGCTATAGATGAGGATGTCGTCTAAGTAGACCAAAACGAAGCGGTCCAACATAGCGCGAAACTCGGTGGTCATGGCCGCCTGAAAGGTGGCCAGGGCATTGGTAAGGCCAAAAGGCATAACTACCCACTCAAAATGCCCATATCGCGTCTTAAACGCGGTTTTGTACCGGTCTTGCGGGCGGATGGAAATCTGATGGTAGCCCGACTTGAGGTCCAACTTCGAAAAGTACTTGGCGCCGCCCAACCGCTCAAGCAAATCGTCAATGCGAGGTAGAGGCCCCGCGTTCTTGATGGTTTGCTCGTTGAGGTGTCGGTAGTCAATGCAAAGCCGAAGGTCCTTGTTCTTCTTCCGAACGAAGATTACGGGCGCACCGTAAGGTGAGCTGCTAGGGCGGATTCAACCCTTGTCGAGTAGATCGTCGAGTTGCGCACGAAGAACCGTGAGCTCCTCCTCGGACATGCGATAAATGCATCCTTTCGGTGGCACGGCGCCGGCCTCAAGTATGATCTAGTAAGAGATTGGCCGGTCCGACACTATACCGGAGGGTGTCTCAAAAACATCCGAGAACTCATCTAACAACTGGGTCACACGGGGGTCGGAAGACACTTTTGTGGACGATGAATCGGTCGTCGGGACGGTTCGAAGCAAAGCAATGCCAATCTCTTCGACATGCTCGGAACGGCATGAGTCTCGAAAAGATTTGGCACTCACGACTTGGCACCTAATGGAAGAGCGAGGAGGAGGAATAGTACACGGGACCTCGGCGCCAGTTGCATCACGAATCGTGAGCGTGCGTCGATGAAAATTGACCGTGTGGTCCGCGCTAGAAAGTCAAGGCATCCCCAAAATGACATCGAAGTCGGTGTCCAATACGTCAAAAGTGACGGGTTGACATGCGTGCGGTGCAAAGTACACCGGGACAGCCGAGATGTAACGGTCTAAAAGCTGTTTCGTCTTAC